GAGTGTCCACTTATTTTTGTCCCTCGACAATCTGCTAATTTTTTTTTCAAGTATATCTTATTTCAACACCAATGTAAATATTAATTTCAATCATTCGCTAAATAATCTACATACCATAAAGATATGTAATATATAGAACTTAAATACGTAGCAATAGTACTTTGGCTAAATTTAATTCATATCTATTTCCATTACCTGTCCACTCAATTTTGCCTGTAACTATATATATACATATACATGTATTTACTTATGAATTCTACTCATCGGTTAATCAATCTTGAGAAAATTCAAGGAAGAAAATCTAATCAAGCAAATAGCTCTTGTCTTCTCTGCTTGATTGACACAGTATTTTGCTTCTTCTTTTTCTACATTTCTTTTCTCTCTCTGCTCGCTGTTACTTTATCTTCCAAAAATACAAAAACATTATCCCTGCGTTTCCTTGTTTTTTATGCGATAGATTTTATTAATTAAAGTTAAAATATCTTCCAAACTAATATTCGACATACTTTTTTATAATAATTCGAGTTAATACTTTTGTTTTTATAGGGAATGTTAGGTATTATTTAATGGATTATTTTATATAAAAAAAAGTTGAAATGATAATCGTATGACTTTTACGCATTTAACTAGTCACACTGCATTGTGTTACCTCGAAACTATTCATTTCCTATTTGAACTATGTTTTTTTATATAACAAATAATTTACGATTAATTTCTAGTTATAGATTAAAACTGATCATCTATATTCACATATACACATTTTAATGTCTGGTTATAATGATATAAATGTTGCAATGCGCATCTCTTCTTAGAATTAAATTTAATATCTAATCTAAATTTAATATTTTTTCTTCTAATTTTTAACGCATTTAATCAGTATTGTCAATTTATTTGTTTGATACTCTATTGTTTTGATTATCTCTGATACTTGTGAAATATTTAATAAATGAAAAACTTAACAACGTGATAAATTATTCAAAGAAAGTGAATTATAATTACAAAATTATAAATTAAAATTTTTTTAACGATATCTAGTACCTCTAGTTAGTATAATAAATCCGTGAACGCCCTGTATATAATAAAACTAGATTACCAGAAGGAATTAAATTTAATTGTATAGTGTAATATAATTTCTATTTTTGTTATTGTAGTAACTAACAACTACAGTTTAATTAAAATTATACATGCTTATGATTGCAGGACAGAGTAAAGCAAGCCTTAAAACAACAAGAAGTCTCGCAACAAGAAAACCGTCGAAAAAGGAAAATTTCTATAAAAGGAACAGAAACAGAAGTAGAAGAAAAAGAATTAAGAGACGAAAAGAAAGCTGAGAAAGAAGTTAAAGACGAAAAGAAAGAGAAAGATGAAAAACCGAAAGTTAAAAGGAAACCTATGCCACCACCAATCGATTTCAGTGAACTTCTGAAAATTGCTGAAAAGAAACAGCACGAGCCGATTGTTATCGATGTTAAATTAAAAAATGATGAACCAGAAAGGCTGATGACAAAAAAACAAATGAAAGAATATGCAAAAGAAAGAGAATGGCGAGAACGAAAAGAACAGCGAAATAAACTTGGTAATATAAATAATAAAGAAGGAAATGTTAATACAATTAACAAACCGAATAAAATACAAGATTGTCGTAATACTGCCAACTGTTCCAACAAAATATCGAAAGTACCTGAAAAGTTGACAACAGTGTCTGGAGCATCGAATAAAATTCCTTCAAAACCAACAGGATTGCAATGTTCAACTTCTAAAAAATTAATTGTCGATAAAGCTAATAATCCTAATAAAGTCACAACAAATAAATCCGCGAGAGATATACTTCTAGAGGAAAGGAAAAAATTGGAAACCGAGAGGAAAAAGTTAGAAGAAATGCGACAAGCTATCGAAGAAGAAAAGAAGAAATTGGAGATAACTAAAACTCAAATTGAAGATACGAAAAATCCGAAAACTGAAAAGTCGATATCAAAAGTGAAAACCTCAGAAAAACAAGATTTATTGAAAAATTTACAAAAAGAATCTTCAACAACTAACGCAACAAAATCTCGAATACCACCAAGAATGAACGATAAAATAAAACAATTTCCACCAGCAGATCTTAAGCCAATCAAATCTAGACAGATACCTCATTTGAAGGAACAGAAGAAGCTATTAATTAATAATAAACGTAAGAAATTTTATATTTTACTTTATTTAATTGTAAGTTAGAGAAGATGATTAATTATTCTGCAAACGTAAATATGTTGATAATTGAAAATTTTTTTTCAATTTAATATTATTCTTTTAAATTTGACGTCTTCATTAATAACAACATACAGACGTACGTGCGTGCGTGCGTGCGTGTGTGTGTAGAGAGAGAGAGAGAGAGAGAGATTCTATACTTCTATTTCTAATAAAATACTTAATAATTTATACACTTAAATGTACAGGTCGTATAACAGACGAAGAAGACGAAGACTATGACTCTGAACTTGAAGACTTTATTGACGATGAAGTAGAAGATGAAAATGAAGATTATAGTAAATATATAAGTGAAATATTCGGTTATGATAAAAATAAATATAAACATGCGGATAATGATGACGACACAGCTATGGAAAGCAGTTTTGCACAACAGCTCAAAGAAGAATATGTATCTACTAAAATAGGTAACTAAACTAAACTACACTAAAATAGGTAATGTTAATCTTTTATAGCATCTTGTACGTCTTTCTGCTCGTTATAATTATTTACAAAAGTAATAAAACGAAATTATGTTTTTAGGTATGATGGAAGATTTGGAAGACATGCGTATGGAAGCCTTGGAGAAAAAGCGAAAAGCCCTCTTAAAAAAGAAACTTAAAAAGTGATTGTATAAAATTGTTTATAAATTTTTATTAAATTCTATTTAATAAACTATTATCGTGGCATTTAAAAGTTTATAATATATATTTCTCCCTGTTACGGTTTCCATGAGAAAAATTTTGGAAATTATATGCACTCTTCTCACAATCAGTGGAATTTACAATATCTAAACATAAATTTTACTGTTTTTTTATCTTCAATTTTCATAATTAATCCTTCAGGCCAAACAGCACACTCGCATTATAGTTTTCCATTTACATTTAAGAAAAAGATGCATTATAGCTTTCCATTCTAATTAGGTTGTAACTAAATTACATAATTAAATTTTTAATTAATTTAGTTGCCAATTATTGATTACGAGTGTAATTGAATTGCAATATAATTGAAATATAATATATTAGAATTACTTAGAATTACAAAATCGCCGAACTCTGTATATCAATCGCAAGATATACATACCTCTATTTGATGGACCAATTAAAATTTTTTATTAAATACAATACACCATTCCTTTCATCTGGATCTGTAGAAAAAATGCTCTCTTTTGCGACAATGATCAACCTTCCAAAATTAAGCAATCTTACTGATAAAATATTTGAAAGAAGTGTTTATTAAAATCAATTTAATATTGACTGATAATTGTTATCAAATTAATGACTTCAATCAATGTATCTTGCAAATAATTAGTAAAAAGTTAAGAACACTGTTTTTTCTAAGTTTTTTCTTCACATAATGCTTTATTTTATTTCTATATTATTTCTATATATTATTGACCTATTCAATTTTTATTTTTTTTTAAGTAATGTTTCATTTAATTTTTCGTATTCACTTTTTTAAGTAACATTTGGCAATTACCGTCATTTCTTCCTTTAATATACATTGTAAATTAACAGAAGGCACCTTCTTAAATTTATGTTTGTTGTTTAAGATGAATTTCTCTGCCTCTTAAATTCTGATTCAAATACATTGCATATTGTCATTATAATTCAACTGTAAAAACGAATTGATTCGCGCGTAATTTAATTCAGTAAGAAATTTGAATTACGAATTACATTATAATTTAATTGAATGAAAAATTGAATAAATTACAAATTACAATTAAATGAAATACGATGTAATTGAATTATCATTTTATAATTATAATCCATGAAGTAATTTATTTGTAATTCTGCACAATTCTGGTATGGATTATAGTGTACTGTATCTGGGTCTTGTTTCTCACCTCCCCATCTCTTCAAAATTTTATGCTCAGGAATTTGTATTTTTCGAAACTAAAATCTGATTTTTTTTGGTCTTAAGCACGATGCTTGACATTACACGAATATGCTATGTAATCATTTATTCGCTTTGTATTATAATACTAAGAACTGAAGCAATACTACAATGCCTCATTTGCCTGTCTCGCGTATTATAGGGTGTCCATAAAGTCTCTTGACAATTTCAACAATTTATTACAAAAAAAAGTGAAAAGACAGATAAGTGAAAATTATTACAAAATGACATGTATACATTTAAATTTTTTCTGCCTATTTAATACACCTCTATATGGGCACAATTAGTTGCACGAAGCACATCAACACGGTATTCGATTTCTTACACGATCGATGTTTTCCACAGATGCTTTTGGTCGTCCACTCCTCCCTTTATCGAACAATGTCTTTGTCTCCATAAATTTCTTGCGCCATCCACGAATTGATGGACGTCTCTTCCATACTTATAATTCTGAAGTTTCGCTTGTAATTTAGATTGTAAGTCTGGAGATCCGATTTGATTTCGATAAATCATGATACACACTGTATCTTCTCTCGAGGAGTAGCCATTTTATAAGGGATTCATTTAACAGTATTTTATTCATCAACAGGATACTTGAAATGCAATGTGATAAAAACCTTGATAACCACCGAGATATATAGAACAAATTTGATGAAGATATCTCATCAATTGCCTTTGTAATAAATTTTTGAAATTGTAAAGAAACTTTATGGACACCCTGTATTACACCAAACAAACAAATATAAGTATCTCTTGAATAAGACTCAAGTCGAGTCTCACATTATCTGCATGTACTTTGACAAATAAAATGAAGGCGTCTTTTCACCACCATCGATATTATTAATTCAAAAAAATTATGATGTACAAGAACGAACAAATATAGAAAAATAACTTTCTTTTTATCTATTATACATAAATATATACATTAGTAAATGATTGTAATGGAAAAATCTTTGATTGAATAACAAGCTAAAAACATGTCCTAGATATTTTTAATCACAAGCCTCGTCAATCTCTTGTTGATTTTTATGCGTCGTCAAGTATGGATTCTCCGAAGTGGGGCACAAGAATCTTTTAAATATGTTTCCGTCCAAACAGTTAGTCCTGTTATCAGTTGGTTGTAACAAATTGTTCCATATACCATTTGCATCTTGAAACATAAAAGATAGTTTTTACCTACCATTTTTACCGTTCATCTGTTTTACTTACAATTTGCGATAAGCTTTTGACTCCAATGAAAGCAATCAACAGCTAAATACGACATATCCTGGTATCCATCCTCGGCTAGCGGTATAATTGAATTTATAAGAACTGGTAACATTTCCACAATAAAGTCATCTCTATAAAATTCTGGATAACTGGCAATTTCTTTATCTAATTCTTGCCACCTAAAAGAGTTACATCTGCATACATATGCTGGTGTTGGAAATGATATCAAATGACTTGAAAACTATAAAATTCTCTTCCTTGACAGAAAAATTTGATAATCATATTACAAGTTTTAATTGAGAATTAAAACCACATGTGCGTGAATTATGAATCAAAAGGGAAATAAAAATTGAATGTAAAGTATGTTGTAATAAAATGCTTGAAATTGACATAATGAGACACAAAATATTAGAAAAGATTTGTACAAACCTTCTTATTACTTCATAATATTCCAGTTTTCCATGTTGAAATTGCAAAGCAAATAAACACGGACACTCAATGATTGACATCGTACTGCACGGCCACAAATATTGTCGATGATGTTCAGCAATTGCCCTCATATGAGGTGGCACGATAAGAGCAACGAAAGTTCGTGGCAAATTATCTCTCAATATTCTAAGAGTGTTAATTAGTTCAATTTCATGTTCTTTTAATATAGACCACGGAGAAGGAGCTATACATATGTTGCTACAGAAATCATTGCACCCAATCATCAACAAAATCAACTGCAAGACATAAAAATGAGTGTTACTTGAATGATTAAACAAGAGATGAAATTACACATTTCGTAGAAAATAATAATTTATCCAATTTCATGCTCACGTTAAAGTATTAATTAGCAGTTCAAGTGTGCTTATTTAATAAATAAAATGCTATATAATATTTTCATACTCTCCAAGGTACGAACCTTCCAATCTTTATTCACATCTATCCTCGGGTCACTTTTTATCTTTTCAACCAGATGCTGTGCCATGAAAGGCATGTCTTTGGACATTGCACCAGTTTCGGCGACGTTGAACTGCGCGTCTGGCTCAGTACTTACAGAATCTCCGAGTGAATAGCCTATTAATTTCGGGTTGAATTCCTAATGAGCAAGAACATCCAACTGTGAGAAAGCTGTTCATATTCGATTCGTACGACAGTGACAAATCTATAAGGAATGAACGAACTTTAAGAATATTAGGAAGCGTCAGGTATTTCCTCCATGTTTCTTCCCCGCCGATACTCGCTGATATCCCTCTATTTTCAACCAGCAATTGTAACAGGTTAACTGCGGTAACTGCTGTCGGAACTGTCGTAGAATCGCCCATTGCGGCAATGACATCTATGTCTCCTGGTCTCAAACGATGAACTGATTTGGGAACTTCAGAAGACCTTCCACCTAAGAAAACATTAAAATGCTGACGATCTGCGTGAGATCACAGACGAGATATGATCGTATACATACCTTATTTGTGATGAGATAAACGTGAGTTGTTTGAACCTTCGTTCAAACAAATACCGGGTATATATTTTGACTCGATTTATTATTAAATATCAAACGTCTCATGTAGCGATTCTCATTAATATTCAGATACTAAATATTGAAATTGTTATAATCTTACAAAAAAAAAAAAAAAAAGAAATCGCTTGGTAATAAACTTGGAAAACTTTAAATTTTAAAGCTTTTTAGAAGTTTTTACTTTCAAAATTTTTCACTTGTTTTATTTTAAAATATCTTTACATCACATAGTTAACGGATAAGATGAAGATTTTCTTTTCGAGATTTTTTTTTATTTTTTCTTTTTTTTTTTCATAATCTGCAATGAATTTGAAGACTGAAGCAACGATCGATGTTTTCACGACGATCCCGAAAACTTGATGTATGTATGTATGATCATCTTCTTTTCATCATTTTATTGCACTCTGAATATTATAGGCTTACAATTCGATGATAAAAATTCAAGAAATCGTAACGCGTAATACTTAAAGTTGAATATGTTCAATCTTCAAGTTCATTGTAGATTCAATCATGAAAAAAATTCAATCATGAAAAAAAAAACATTTTTGCATATTAATGACAATTTATGACGTTTTATCGAGAAAAAAAAATGTCCTCACTTGGCTAGACAGTGCAAAAACATGTTAGAATATGCATAAACGATGCATTTTGAAAGAACTTGGAAGCTTATAACAATTTCAATTTCTACTGTCCGAATATTAATGGAATTCATTGTACAAATAAATTTACATGAAAAATATGATTACGTATTATATATTATACAGGATGAGTCTCGTAACATGACGTCATCAAATAATTCTTAAAATATTTGTTGTACGAGAAAATGTTTCAGATGGAAGTTGCATGGCTTCCAGGGTGAAAAATAGTACTGTAATCAGTTTTATGTCATTTTGCTCTTTTGTCAAGGTATGAAGATCACCTTCAACTTTTTAAATGGAACAGTTAATATTTCTTCCCGAATTCGGATGAAGCGTTAAATTCTACATAAAAAAGTATTACACCAAACAGGATCTAAAACACATAGTTACTGAGATTAACGGTCTTTTCTAATACATGTAAAAATATATTTTTCCTAATATCTTTCCTAAATTCGGGAAGAGATACTAACTATTCCATTTAAAAAATTGAAGGTGCTCTTCGTATCTTGATGAATAAGAAAAATAACATAAAACTGATCACAGTACTATTTTTCACTCATGCAACTTCTATCTGAAACATTTTTTCACTCAACAAATATTTTATGAGTTATTTGATGTCGTCACGTTACAAGACTCACCCTGTATAATGTTTAATACAGCTAGAAAATACGAAACAAATCTCGCGTTTGAAAAGATTGAAAATTTATGCGAGTAAGAGATACTTGTGATGGATAACTCTTATAATAATAGGATAGGATATAACTCAGATTACTGTTAGAAGAAGAAATTGCAAATGAAAATGGAAAAAGTAAAATTAACAGGACAAGACTGTAAGTAAACATTGAAATTGCTATACGTACTTTTATTCACTACACTAGATGCAAATAAATAAATTAAACGATAACATTCATCTCACTTTTAAATGGGAATCATGATACCTGTTACGTTGCAGGGAAACGGTATGTCTGCTGGAACTTCGTCTTGAAATTTATTTTCTTTCCGTAGCTGAATCATTTGTTCATTATTTTTCGTACCTGTGAAATGACGTTCGAAAGAGAACTTTAGATTAGAAATGTATTTTCCTTCTGTTTTGTTGGAAAATTAGTAGCTTATTTTCTTGAAAAATGCAAAACAATCAAAACCCCATTTTTTTGGATCTTATAGGTCCAAAATGACGAAAGAAAATTGGCACGTAAGATCGTAACATCAAATATACACGTACCATAAGTTTGCGACAACCAACTACGATATTTACGATAGGTATGTCTAATAATTGCAGTGTCCAGTATAGTCTTTTGTGCGATGGTGATGGCACATAATTGTAATAAAAGACACAAGTACAACTTCTTCATTATCCTATATTTACAAACGTTATGGATCAGTGACAATAGTCAACGAAGTCAAAATTGTATCACTTACTGCCTCTTCTTCACGACACGCGTCCAAAATTTGTAGTGACTGCCGAGTATGCTTACTATGGACTATCTTGAGGATACAGCATCCAACTTACAACTTACTAAGGAATCAGACATTCTTCGCAAAAAATATAGAGCAATTACATGATTATGATAAACGTGATTGGAATAATATTATACGATATTAATCGCACATTCCACTCCCAATCACACTTCACGCATATATTTGCATTTGCTCTGCAAGCAAGAAAGAAAATAATCGACAGATTTGCTTTGCGTTTCAACTTTTTTATGTACATGGTATAGTAGAATTATTTCGAAACGAGTATTTAAACGTATCGTTTTTAAAAAGGAAAGAAATTCCAATAAATTGTTTCAAAGGGCTGTAACACATTATAAATACTATAATGCAACATGGCAGAAAGAACAAGTGAATTTCTTCTAAAAGTTATTTACATAGCCACTTTGCTTTTGAGTTTCTAAAAGTTATTTACATAACTACGTGACATTTATAATAATAACTTCTAACTATATTTAATATCGTTAAATTAATATAGTTAATAGGTAATAAGATAATAATATTATAGGTAATAATATTAATATTATATATGGTTAATATAGTTAATATGTATAGTAATATAGTTAATATATTAATACTAATACAGTTAATATATTACTACTAATACATTATATTTTATATAATTGTAGCTAACATATTAATATTAATATATTGATATAGTTATTATTATATTATATTATAATATAACTTCTAATTATATTTAATATGGTTAAATTAATATAGTTAATAGGTGATAATATTACTATGTAGTTAATGTAGTTGATATATTTCTATAGTAGCATAGTTACTATATTAATATTAATACGGTAAATATATTGATATAGTTATTATTATATTATATTATAACTTCTAATTCTATTTAATATGGTTAAATTAATATAGTTAATAGGTGATAACATTACTATGTAGTTAATGTAGTTGATATATTTCTATAGTANTATTTCTATAGTAGCATAGTTAATATATTAATATTAATACGGTAAATATATTGATATAGTTATTATTATATTATATTATAATATAACTTCTAATTATATTTAATATGGTTAAATTAATATAGTTAATAGGTGATAATATTACTATGTAGTTAATATAGTTGATATATTTCTATAATAGCATATTTAATATATTAATATTAATACAGTAAATATATTGATATAGTTATTATTATATCATATTATAATATAACTTCTAAGTAGATAGGCGCGTGGATTCGAGGTGCAGGATAGAAAAGAATAAGTAGAGATTGCGATCAGAAAGGAGCATAAAAAGGGAATAAGGGTAAAGGAGGAACGACGAGCTTTAAAGGGGATTAAGAGGTGAGTGGAAGGACGTTAAAAGGGGATTAAGAGGTGAGTGGAAGGACGTTAAAAAGGAATTAGCTAGAAAAATGGAAGAATAAGTGAGATCAGAGGTTAGAACCAAGAAAAAAGAAGATATGGGCGGTGAGAGAGTAAACGACATCTCAGATTCAGGCGATGAATTCTTAACTGAAGACAAGTTAGAGATCGAGCCTCTTACCATAGCGAAGGGTAATAAAAAAGAGGGAGACAGGAAGAAACGGGGAAAACCATTAGGCTCCAAAAACAAACGACAAAAAGAAGTAGTAATGCAAAGTGGAAGAAACCTGGAGGATTTCGTGGAAATTTTCGACAGGAAGGACAGAGTCAAGAGATCACCTGTTAGTAATAAGGAGGGGGGTTGTATGACGGGGAAAACGGTGCAAACACGTAGTAAAGAAGCGAGAAAAGAGAGGGAAAAGCCGGTAACCGAGAAACGAAAAAACGGAAGAAAGGAGGAAAGAGTGGAGGAAGGCGAAGGGCAAAGCGAAGAAGAAGGAGAAGGACAGAACAAAATAATGGAATTTCTGAAAAATCAAGGCAGGAGTATGGAGGAGAACTTAAAAAGGTTGAAAGAAGAAATGATGGAAGGTATAAAAGCGGGAGACACAATCACAAGAGAACTGGTAACAAGTGAGATAGCCGAATTAAGAAAACAACTGGAACGCAAGGACAAGAAGTAGCAAACTGAGAAGAAAATAATGCAAGTAAGAATTGAAAAGCTGGAAAATAAAGTGACGGCTCTCGAAGCCAAAACCGAAAAGAAGGAAATTGAAACCGAAATCAAGGACGGAGGTAGAAAAAAGGATGGGTGAGAAGAAAAGTGGAATACCGGAAAGGCAGAGAGAGGAAAAATGGCTGCGAAAACTGGAAGAAAGGTGGAAAAAATGGTAAAAACGAAAGGCAAAGAAGAGGTAAAGCGATTAGAATCGATAGACATGATACTAGCGAGAAATGAGCGATCAAGAAGGAGAGTGAATCTGATAATAAAAAGAATGGAATTTGGAGGAAGGAATTTGAAAAAGAAACTGGAGGAAAGTAAAGCTGGAGAGAAAGTGATAAGAGTAACAGGATTGGGAAAGAATACAAAAAACAACAACACTAATAATAATAATGACAGCAAATGGGAACGTTAGAAGTGAAGAGAAGGGTAATGAGGAACAGAAGACCCCTGAAAGACAACAACTTGACCAGAAGCGAAAGAGAAATACACAGAATGATATGGGAGCAGGCCAGGAAACTAGAAGCAAAGGGAAGGAAAGTGAAAAGAGGATACATGAAATTAATAAAGTGTGTTGGAGATGGGATGAAAAGAGAGAAAAATTAGAGAAATAAAATTTTTGAATATGAGAAAGGAAGCTTTTGCAGAAAGGAAGATGGTAGTTTGGAATGTGGCGGGGATGGGCAGGATTCAAGAAATTACAGATTTTATTAAGGACTTTGATTTAGTTGTGTTACAGGAGACGTGGATTGAGAAAAAAGATTTGCAAGAATCAATGCGGAAACTAGATGAGCGATTTCGGTGGACCGCGAAAGCCGCCATTAGATCCAAAACGAGAGCAAGTGGTGGACAATTTCTAGGCATCAAGAAGAACTTAAAGTGGAGGGCAGGGGAGGAATGGGAATACTAGGACTGGTAGCTAGGGGCAGGGTAGCGGGAGAGCAGGTTACACTGATAACGGTGTACAATAATGTGGGAGTGGGTAAAATAAGAAGTAGCTTAGAAGAGTTAATAGAGGGAATAGAAAGAAAGCGGGATAGGATACTAATAGTAGAGGACTGGAATGCCAGAATTGGGAAGGAACAAGGAAGGTCAGACAAATATGAAGGAGACGAGTGGTATAGAAATTCGGAGAGCAGTGTATTGAACTGGGAAGGAAGGAGGCTGTTGAGTATGTGTCAAGAGATGGGGTGGACTATTCTAAACGGAAGGTAACGTATGTAGAATTGAAAGCAAGCTCAACGATCGACTGTATAATAGTCAAGGAGGGTGAGAGAGCGAACTTAATTGATCGCCTGGAAGTAGTAGCCAGGACAGAATCTGACCATTTGCCGATCATGGTGCAATGGACAGAAGATGAGTGCAGAGAAGGTAGAACAGAGGAAGAGAGGGAGAGACCCAATACATATGAAAAGAAGATAAAAGCCAGGAATTCGAGGGAAATTTATTACAGTTGTGGAAAGTGGGATGGAATGGGTTAAAGCCTGGGGAAAAAATGGGAAAATTGAACGAGATGATTGAAGAACCAGCGGAGATGGCGGGAATGATAAGGAGTAGGAAGATAAAATCGAGGCAAACTTGGTTCGACAAGGAGTGCGAGAATAAAAGGAAAGAAGTGTGGAAAAATTTAAAAGCCTACCTGAAGTCGAAAAAGATATACTGAAATTGGTAAGCAAGAGAAAGGAATTGAAGGAATTATAAAGAAAAAAGATGCAAGAGCAAGAAGAGAAATGGAAAGAAGTAGACAGCAGCCGAACAATAACGGAATTTTGGAGAAACATTGGAAAATTCAGGCCAGGAAAAAGGGTGAGAGGGACAGAAATATAGAAAGAGGACTGGTTGAGGCATTTTTGTCGACTGTTGGGCTGTGAAATTGAACAAGAAGAACATGAAATTGAACAACTGCAAATTTGGCAGGACAAGGAGATGGGGAGAGAGGGGCGACACAAAGATGTCGAAAATATAAAAGAATTAAATAAAGACATAGGTTGGGAGGAGCTAAAAAGTCTAATAAGAATTAAATAAAGACATAGGTTGGGAGGAGCTAAAAAGTCTAATAAGAATTAAATAAAAACATAGGTTGGGAGGAGCTAAAAAGTCTAATAAGAATTAAATAAAGACATAGGTTGGGAGGAGTTAAAAAGTCTAATAAGAGGCATTAGGAGAAACAAAGCAGTAGGAGATGACGGTATAAAGATTGAGTTTATTCAAGGGTTACCCGAAGAAAGTGCAAGGGTATTCCATGAAACAATACAAAGTATCTGAAACCAAGGTAGGTTACCCGAAAACTGGACACTGGCAAGGATAATTCCAATACACAAGGCAGGGGACGAGAAGGATATGCGAAACTACAGGGGAGTGGCATTACTAGATGTAGGATACAAAATTCTGACATCAATGATGGCGAAACAATGGCTTAAGGCAATGGCTGGAGAACAATAGGATATTATGAGAAAGCCAATGTGAGTTTAAAAGCAGAAGAGCGACGAGGGACCACCTATTTGCTTTAAACTCACTTACAGGTAACAAACTGAGGAAAAAAGGAGGGAAACTAGATGCTGCCTTTGTGGATTTCCGCACAGCCTTCGACATGGTCAACAGACGGAAGATGACGGAGAAACTGAAGCAACTAGGAATAAGTGGTAGGATGTTAGACATGATCATGAGCCGACTATCCGATGCGACTAGTGAAGTCAGCACGCAGAAGGGACTCACCAAGAGGTTCAGGACGGACCGGGGAGTGAGACAGGGATGCCCACTCAGCCCTACATTGTTCAATCTGTACATAGAAGACCTGGAAAAGGAAATGATAGAAAGAAATTTAGGAGGGGCAGTAATAGGAAGAACGAAAATTTTAGCACTAAAGTACGTGGATGATGTATCACTTGTAGCGGATGATGCCGCAGGCCTGAAAGAAATGTTAGCGTCACTAGCTAAATTTGCGGTGAGAAAGGACTTGCAGATTAACTCGAAAAAAAAACAAAGATT